CCGCAATTTTCCCTAGAAGTTCTACACGTTAATGTATTCCAGTTATCCATTACAACCCAGAATTCGTCGAAAGATACATGTGTCGTGAAAATCCGGTCTACGATTACTTGGCCAGCGAGTAGAGCTAAAACGAAGGAGTAGATTGATATGATATATTTTAAATAAAGCCGCAATCTTCCTCAGAAGGTCTACACTCTCATGTACACGCTCATGTATGCCAATTATCCATTATAGCCCAGAATTCGACGAAAGTTGCATGGGTCGTGAAAATCCGGTTTGGTCACCATTACTTTAAGATGATTTTACATGTATTCCTCAGAAAGAAAATATCATTTCGTTATTATAAGAAAGTACACAGACGATACGTAGGCCTCCGCTAGACGTGAGCTGCGTAGTGTCCTGGAAATCTGGTCCTGCCATGAATAGCTCAAGATGTTATAGTATATATCCCTGACAAAGGAAATATCATTATTTTCACATAGCAAACCAACCAGACGATACACGGGCCTCACCTAGTCCCCGGAAATTTCTTGTACCCTAATCCCGTACGGTAACGAAAACTATTATTCGGATTAGATTCCGTTTTCCTGAGTTCAAAATATGATTATTGTCTCAGAGTAAAGTCTTTCTGCCATCAAATAGTCTCTGTTAGTCATAGTCAATGTTGTGTCGTGGAAATTCAGTTTGGTCACCATTAGCTTTAGATGATCTTACAGGTAGCCCTCACAAAGAAAATATCATTGTTGTTATAAGAAAGTAACCTGACGTTATATTGGCCTCGACTTCTCATGGGTGACGTTGTGTCCTGAAAATCCGGTCCGGTAGCGAAAACTATTATTCGGATTGGTTTCCGATTCCCTGATGTCAAAATATGATTATTGTTCAATAGTAAAGTTTTTCTAGGCTAGAAAACCTTTTGTGAGTCAAAGACAATCTGTCGTGTCTCGGAAATCCGGTATGTCATCATTAGCTTTAGATGATCTTGCATGTAGACTTAACGGAGAAAATATCATTTCCTCATTATATGAAAGTTGCTTGACGTTATATGGTCCTCCGCTAAACATGGGCGACGTAGTGTCGTGGAAATTTGAGGAATTTCCCAAACTAACCATACAATGGTGTCACTTTGAGGAGTTCCTTGAAATATATATATATATATATATATATATATATATATATATATATATATATATATATAAACAAAAAAAGGATAGTCTAATAAAATAGTAAAATAAATATAAAGCTGTAAACTTTTTTTCTGAAGAGTAAGAAAGTAGACGAATTAAAAAGATCTTTATATAACGGACATTTGAAAAAAATATATATGTACAACGAACAAAATCTATAAAAAGTGTTTATTAGAGTTATATTCATTTATCCTTTCATATATATATATATATATATATATATATATATATATATATATATATATATATATATACGTCGTAAGTTTGTAGGTTCTAGGACTTTTAAGCCTTGAGTATCATCATATATATTAATACTACAAAATATTCAGTTGATTATTATGGAATACAGACTTAGAGAGGATTATTCGCTGTATTATTTAGTTCAAGTAGCCCTTTTCTAGGTATCATATGGGAAAAATTCCAAACTCAGCCTAAGCTCTCAAAACTAACAATGCATAATCAGCTCACTCATTTTTCGTGAAAAACGTCCGGCATAATTATAGCAGCTAAGTCCACTCTAAGTCTGTATTCCGTAATAATCAATTGAATATTTTGCAGTATTGATATATCGATAATATTCAAGGTTTATAAATCCTAGAATCTACAAATTTACGACGTATGTAATATATAAGATTGACAAAGTGTTTGCCTTGAAGCCGTTATATCTATATACAAACCCAACCAATTCGAGTAAATGTAGAAATTTGTCTATTATATCATCATTAATATTAAAATATTATACAAAAAAAAGTGGATCATTACCTGCTTTATATTTTCGTATCGAGAAAGAAACTCTGATATGCGGTAAATCGAGAAAAATGCAAAATCGGCCAATTAACTGAAAAAAGCCGCATAATTCTATCTTTATCGCCAAAATATTGGCTTGTGAAATTTTTTTTTCAAAAAGTTATTTACACCATTTGAAAAGGCTTCAAACATAAATAATTTGATCCAATATATTAAATCTTTTAATTGATTTGCCGATCTGTCATATAAATAGTTTAAACTTTAAACTGAAATACATTACGAAGACATGAAAACCTAAGTTGGATATGCCAAGAATTCATAAATCTCATTTTACGAAACAGGTGAATTTAATTTTACACAATTTTATATAATGCGATTTATACAGAAACTTACCTTCAAAACAGTAATCTTAAGAATGTACACTACACTAGTTGATGATATTTTTATGTAATAAACAAGAGTTGCCGTCACACTTTCTTTAAAACAAATAATTTTGGAAATAACGATTTTGAAATATAAGGGAGCCAAGCCAAATGCATATAATACAGATTAAGAGTATAAGTGCAATAAAGAGTAGGGGTATATGGTCTCAGTGCGCCGCCGTAAATGTGCGCAGTAGGTCGGCCGCCGATACAGATTGCTGCTTCGAATTCAAGTCACCACTTGTTGGCCGCTGTTACAGATTGCCGCTTCGAATTTCCGACTTACTTTGTGACAATTGTTAAGCATTTATACGTACTTGTTGCCAATTAATTTCTCGTTATGAACCAAGTTGTGTACCGTTGGCTTGTACGCGTTCTTAATTATATAAATCAGTAAGTCGGCTGCCGAATTCCCGGCTAGTTGCTATTTAAGTTGAGCATTACGTACTTGCCGCCATTTCACTTCTCGCTTTGCGAACCTCGTGTACCGCATAAAAATTTTCTTCTTCTACAGCATTTCTGTAGTTATAATTAATCGCAGTGAAAACATATTTGTGATAAAAAAAGAGTGTGAAATAATTTATAGTGGATAATTGTGGCGGTGCTGGTCGCCGATACAGATTGCCGTTACGAATTTCTATGTAGTTGCTACTTGTTGAGCATTTATTTGTCGCCATTATGTAAACCTTGTGTATTGTTGGCTCGTGCGCTAATTATTTAATTGTTAGAAATTTTTTTTCTCATCCTACTGCATTTGTGCTATGCTATTATTTAATTCGTCGCGGTGAAAAATTGTAATAAAAAAGAGTGTTTAAGTTATTTCGAAGCATTTCAAATTTCTTTTAATAATTTTACTTGCAAAAATGGCAGATAGCCAAGAAAAGCAGGTAGCTTACATAAAGTATTTGGACGGTGTAAATAGAGGAATGACAGATACGATTGAGACCGACCAAATACTTGGCCATACTTTTGACGCGTCGTGTAATTTTGATAAAACTATAAAATATAAAATGAGAGATCCTACAAGAGCACGGGAAAATTCCCCAAGTATTCAAATTTTATATATGGCAGGTGAGTAAGTAATCAATTGTTTTATTATTACATTATGACTGCAACGATTACCGAAAATCGTTCGACTTGCGCAAGGTTAATAAGCAGCTGAACGAGAGGAGCCGCGATCGGTTCGCGAGAGAGAGAGGGCGCGTAGGGGCAATGACCGGGAGGGGAGAGTTCAACAGGCAGTATGACTGTGTCCCTCAGTCGGCCTGCATCGTAGTTAACCTACTTCCGTGCCTTCAACGCGTTTCTTGTGGTGGTGCTAAATCGAACAGCGTGAACTTGAGTGCGTGGGTAGCAGCAGCAATAGCAGCAACAGCAGTAGCAGTGACAGCAGCAACAGCAACAGCAACATCCGCAGCGGCCGCAACCACAACAACAGTAATCGCGGCGGTGCAGCGAGCAGTGAAGCAGCTTTTCAGCGGCTTGTTGATCGGATACGGTTGGCCACCGTATCCTCTACTATCTCGCGGTAGGTGCACCTTCTCATTATTGTTAATAGCGTGCCATCCCGCGCAGCGTGCGCGAAAGGATTAATTGTTGCGTGCGAGCGGTTAGTTCGCGGTGACCGCGGTTTTCTCTCTCTCTCTCATACAGCGTATGTTGTCAGTCGCGCTAGCGTGCGCAAGTCTCTCAGCAAAACTCCCGTGTAATTGAATTGCCTGAATAAAGTGAACGATAGTCTTTACCGAATCTAGTCATCGTTATTTTGTCTTTCCTTTGTCTGGAGGTCGCGTCTATTTACATTCGATTCGAATTAGCCGGTAGCGTAGCACGGATCACGCGGATACCGGTAGGCGGGAATCGTCAACATAGTTTCCAGCAGCGGCCGCGCGAGCGCTACTAAGCAAGGGCGACAGCGCCGCCAAGTGGCGAGTTGGGGGAACCCAACTCGGAGTAGCGAAGAGACTCTGCGCAGGCGCACTCCAAGACAAGGTAGGTTGATGTGCTTCGAGCACATAGATAACTAGGCGTCGTTTGGTCATTATATAGGTACGTTCAAGAGATATTTTAGACTAAACGGCAGCCTGTTACATGACATAGTAATTAATATTAATGACATACTAATTAATATTAGATTATTATTATACATTACATATGATTAAAAAATGATCATATATAATTTGAACATTTATCTTTCATTGTTTTTGTTACAGAAAATAAATGCGAATTGAAAAAAAAGATTGAGAGCTTAAGGATTCCATCCTCTAAAAATTTAATTTCAGCATCTGATGAAAGTGATACCCAAGATGCAATTATTAGGCCAATCGCATCTACCAATTCACAAAAATCTACAAATACGTTCAAGGTATTACATGTATAAACATCAATTAGTTTTAACTTTAATTAGCGAGCATGTATCATATATTTCAATTTGATGAACTAGGTGAAACGAGCATCAGATTACTCTAAATTTTATAAAATTAGGCAAGAAGAGAAGGCTTTGCAAAAGAGAAAACTCAAGGTACACACACACACATGTATATCTCATCTGAATATAATGACCAAGCTTTTCAGTAATCACATTTTGTATTTATAAAATTGCAGGATTTAAGTGATCAACAAATCAAAGTCAAATCGATGAAACTGCAAGGCCAATGGAATGATTTTTTCTCAGTAGATCATAACCAAGGAAATGAATCTCATGAGGTCGATGGTGTACCAATTTTGAAACAGAAGGTGAGCATAAAATAATTATGCACACAAAAAAAATTTTTTTACTTAAATGATTAAATTAGCATTTTAACAATTAATTTACATACAATGGTGGTTTTACAAACAACATATATATGAATAAATAAATATAAAAATATATAGCTAAATACATATGAAAATTATAGGATTTAAATAAAGAAGAAGACGCTGCACTACCTATACTTTTTGACAGATGAAGAGGAACATCGCCAAAAAGTATCTGCTGAAGAAGATGAAGTACATAAATTAACAAATTTTGATTTACATGAAACTAATGTAAAGAAGGTCAGTATCCATGCAAGAATGAATGTAGTTAATATATGGATTGATATATAAATTTTCATTTAGGATAAGCATCCAGCAGGTCGTGGTAACAAACCTATAATAATCGAAGTAGGTTCAATAATATAAATATTTGTTCGAAATAATAATAATAAATTATTATTAATTAATAATTCTTTCAATTACAGGAAATTGACTTAATCAAACAAACTAATTTATTGAACAAAAAAGATAAGTAGATTTCAGAATTAAAATATGAACTCAAATGTTTAGACAGAAAATATCAAAATTTAAAAAATGATTTCAAGGATATAAAAAAAGAAAACAATGATTTGCGAGAAAAATTTTTAAACTACAAGATAATATTACGCATGATATAATGAAGATTGGAGGTAATTAAAGGTTTTTTTTAATGGTTATGTGTTATATATATATACAGTGCCGGTCAGCCACTTTTACCCCCCCACGGGCAAAATCAGTCTAACTTCAAAGTTTTATATCTCTGGTAGAAATTAACGTACAGAGACGCGCGTGGGTGCGTTTGAAAGGTCTTTCGGAGAGCTTTCAAATTATATGACTCACGGTTGCCATCGATTGTTTTTTTAAATTTTGCGACAATTATGCAAAATTGAAAATTCTGAAATTTTTTTATTATTTTTGACAATTAGCCAATTTTGGAAAAAAAATCGTACGAAAATTTGAAGTACACCATTTCCTAGCTATTACCAAGCCCTATCTGAATCACTCATCAAAAATTTATTTTCGTCAAATATGACGCGCGCACGGGCATTTTTTCCTGGAAGTGACAGTTTTTTTCAACATTTTTTATCTCCGTCAAATTGTAACAATCGAAAAAAATTTTATAGGAGAAAAAATGTTTGTTTTTTCACGTAGAATACTGCAATAATTTTTTTTTCGGTTTTTCGAAAAATTTTTTTTTTCGGTTTTTTTCAATTTTTTTTCTCACAGTCGGTACGCTAAAAAGATGAGAAACCACAAAAAAAAATTTTTTTCCACCCATTCAATAATACTACATAACAAGTATCGTAAATTACATCAAAAAAAAAATCTTTTTTTTTTCGACCTTGAAAAAAAATTTAAACCGAAAAAAAAAATTTTTCGAAAAACCGAAAAAAAAATTATTGCAGTATTCTACGTGAAAAAACAAACATTTTTTCTCCTATAAAATTTTTTCGATTGTTACAATTTGACGGAGATAAAAAATGTTGAAAAAAACTGTCACTTCCAGGAAAAAATGCCCGTGCGCGCGTCATATTTGACGAAAATAAATTTTTGATGAGTGATTCAGATAGGGCTTGGTAATAGCTAGGAAATGGTGTACTTCAAATTTTCGTACGATTTTTTTTCCAAAATTGGCTAATTGTCAAAAATAATAAAAAAATTTCAGAATTTTCAATTTTGCACAATTGTCGCAAAATTTAAAAAAACAATCGATGGCAACCGTGAGTCATATAATTTGAAAGCTCTCCGAAAGACCTTTCAAACGCACCCACGCGCGTCTCTGTACGTTAATCTCTACCAGAGATATAAAACTTTGAAGTTAGACTGATTTTGCCCGTGGGGGGGTAAAAGTGGCTGACCGGCACTGTATATATATATATATATATATATATATATATATATATATGCCGCTACTCACTTTTGACGACTTTTATATTAACGATATACGTTCATATATTAAGGTATATTAAACTATAAAGAACTCAAATATGTAAAAATAAAGTCTCTAAGACAGGTGGGACTCTTAATATACTATGTATATGTCACTACCCTGCTATAAAAGTTCCATTGAAAACCATTGAAGAATTTCTGAATGGTTTTCAATCTTCGATCTGAACACTCCAAATGACCATTGAATATGATTCCTCATCCAACAAGAAATGTCAAGATATTAAATACTATTGGTTCCAATAATATAGATTACTATTGATTCCTAATCGAGATTAATCATTATCAATAGAAAAATATACTATTAAAGTAATGGTTTTCAATAGGATTCAATGAAATTTCTCATGTATGTTACCCAATCGATTTCAATGGTAAAATTCGTGGTCAAATCGAAGATTTGAAACCATTCGAATGCGATAATCAATTTGATTGAATTGATATCAATGATTTGTTATTGCAACATTCAAGTCTCGTATCGTTGAATAATTTTCAATAGTTTTGAATACGAAAGTCGTAACAACTCAATAATATCCAGTAGAAAATATCAATCTAATTGAATGGGTATCAATGGTCTTTTATCGCATGATCAACTTTTTTTCTGACGTTGAATAATTTTCGATAGTTTTTAATGTGAAAATCACATTAATCCAATATTATGCAATAGCAGAAATTAATCCCATTGAATAAGTATGAATGGTTTGTTATTGCATAATTAAGGATTGGTGCATGGTTTACAAAAAGTGTATTTATAAAAGCACTGTATATCACAGTGAAGAATACAATCGAGCGAAGAAAACTGATGATACTGTCGTTAGACCTACTAGTGGACAATACGCTAGAATAACAAAAATTCTCGAACATGACGACGATTCATACATTGTTGTACAAACGTACAACGTATTTCTAGAATATCCATTTGAAGGAGTGACTCATCCGAAAAATTCAAAGCGAAAACGAGATTGATCTCATCAAACCCATTGGGGAAATAGTTTGCAAAATAATTTTGGTAGACGTTAGAAATGCTAGATATTTATGCAAAATGCCCAATTCATTTGAAATCCAATAATAATGTTCATGTCAATTTTTGTAATTTGTTGATGTACATAAAAAACCATTTATTTACAATTGAAAAAAAATCGAATACCCATTAAAAATTATATTCGAATATGTTTTTACTTAAAAACTATTAAAATTGATAAAAGTCTATTCAATCAAATCATATACGGAGTTTTTTCATTCATGACCTATATAAAATTATAATATCCAAAGCATAAGATACGATTCTTCAATTATAGTATCGAACAACTATTCAAATTTATAAAAAATCATTCAATTATGGAAATTTTTTCTTTCATCATCTAATGAAAAATTATAGAATAAAATTATATTTGATAAGTTTGTAGAATGAAGGATTATTCAAAACTATACAAACAACTTCTCAATAGAATACGATTGAGTTTTACTTGCATTTACCAATCATTAGATTTCATTAAAAAATATTCAATTGAAAATATATGAAATTTTTTTGTTTGCCTTTCATAAGAAATTATAGAATACTATACCTCATTGAATGCGATTGGGTTATTTTTATATTGACCAATCATTAAGATTAAAAAAAAACTATTAAATGAAATATTGCTATAGTTACAGTATTGCTTTTGCTCATATTGGCATATATGGAAAACCATTCTATAAAATATTATTGACCAACCGTGTAATTGGATAAAAATTAATATCCATATAATATGATTCAATAAAATATGATTGGACAATTATTGTATGGAAAAATTATTAAAATTCATAGAAAGATATACAATAAAATATCATTGATTAATTATTTTATTGAACTGTGATTGATATTCGTTCAATGCAATTGGATAGATTATCATTGAAACCATTCCTATACAAAGTATTATTCAGAGAGATTGAATTCTATTAAATTTAATGGTAAGTTTTACTATTAGTTATGCTTACCATGGAGTATTATTGAAAATCATTCAGTTTCAATCGTCATCGGAACATTGAACCATTCAGTTCATTGATTACCATTGAATATGAATGATCCCGAATAGGAATGAATGGAACTTATTTAGCAGGGTAACCGATTTCGACGACTATACTTATTCAATCAATAATACATTGAAAACCACTAAAATCTAAGTGAAATTAAACAATTATAGGACTAAACAGTAGTTCGGGAATTTGAAGGGAGGATGGGCCGGGCATACTGAGAAACTAAAATATATACATATTAGTGCAACGATTCATACGTCAGTTCAAGAAAGGCCTTATTCAAGCAGACTAACGATGCGACCTATTAAATATAGTCTATTTACAAAATATATTCATTCCTAGCTCAAGATATTACCAATTTTTGATATTTAATTTTATGAGGTTCAAAAAAAATACGTTGATAGGCTTGGGCATCTCGTTGGAAAAGTCGTCAAAATCGAGAAGTGTACATTATACTTGTGCTGAAAAGAACAGCAGTTAGTATAAGAGTGAATCGACTGCACAACATTACAGATTTCGAAATCCTAGAATAGTTTTAAGTGAAATTGAACAATTATGGGATTAAAAAGTAATATGGGAATTTGAAGGGAGGATGGGCCAGGCATACTGAGAAACTAAAATATATACATATTAGTGCAACGATTCATACGTCAGTTCAAGAAAGGCCTTATTCAAGCAGACTAACGATGCGACCTATTAAATATAGTCTATTTACAAAATATATTCATTCCTAGCTCAAGATATTACCAATTTTTGATATTTAATTTTATGAGGTTCAAAAAAAATACGTTGATAGGCTTGGGCATCTCGTTGGAAAAGTCGTCAAAATCGAGAAGTGTACATTATATTTGTGCTGAAAGAACAGCAGTTAGTATAGGAGTGAATCGACTGCACAACATTACAGATTTCGAAATCCTAGAATAGTTTTAAGTGAAATTGAACAATTATGGGATTAAAAAGTAATATGAGAATTTGAAGGGAGGATGGGCCAGGGATACTGAGAAACTAAAATATATACACATTAGTGCAACGATGCATACGTCAGTTCAAGAAACGGATTATTCGAGAAGAATAACGATGCAACCTATTAGAAATATTTAATTTACAAAATATATTCATTCCTAGCTCAAGATATTACCAATTTTTGATATTTAATTTTATGAGGTTCAAAAAAAATACGTTGATAGGCTTGGGCATCTCGTTGGAAAAGTCGTCAAAATCGAGAAGTGTACATTATACTTGTGCTGAAAAGAACAGCAGTTAGTATAAGAGTGAATCGACTGCACAACATTACAGATTTCGAAATCCTAGAATAGTTTTAAGTGAAATTGAACAATTATGGGATTAAAAAGTAATATGGGAATTTGAAGGGAGGATGGACCAGGGATACTGAGAAACTAAAATATATACACATTAGTGCAACGATTCATACGTCAGTTCAAGAAACGGATTATTCGAGCAGAATAACGATGCAACCTATTAGAAACATTCTATTTACAAAATATATTCATTCCTAGCTCAAGATATTACCAATTTTTGATATTTAATTTTATGAGGTTCAAAAAAAATACGTTGATAGGCTTGGACATCTCGTTGGAAAAGTCGTCAAAATCGAGAAGTGTACATTATATTTGTGCTGAAAGAACAGCAGTTAGTATAGGAGTGAATCGACTGCACAA